ACATTTCGCTTTACACGACCTTTTCTATCTTTATTGTCCTTAACTTTTTGTTTCAATAATTTGCCCATTTTTGCAAGCCTTTCTTCCTTTTTCAAAAGTTCGCGGTTCCATGATAACCCACATTTAATTGAACAGAATTTAGTTTTTACAAACCTTGCAGGTTTTTTGCAAGGTGGATATTTACATTTTTCAGGTTTCCATGATGTTTTATGTCCCAAATCTAAATATATACATATACATATATAAAACAAAACAATAGATTGTTAGAAATAAAAACGACTCTAATAATATATCCAATCAAAAATACGAATCATATTACAATACCTGTGCAATTAGGACAATAATATTTATCAACCATCTGTGATTCCTCCCGTGAGATGTTGACACAGTCACCATGAAACCATTCATCACAGTTATCGCACTCAATCATAAATGATTCACCATCAGTTGATCTGCATATACAGTAGTGTTGCACCTTTTTTCCAACTTCGATGACCATATCATCAACCGTAGTCATTTCGACCTGAGGTTGCAAACGTGGAGAGTTATTTACGCTTGAATTATTGGAAGTAGTTCTTGAACGAAAATGTGGAGATGATGATGATTTTTTAAGTCTCTTATTTTTACTATTATTGTGAACAGACTGAGAAGTAGCTTTCCTCTTTAATGGAGGTATTCTCGGTCGCTTGATTGAAGGTTTACGTTTTCGTGGTTTATCATCATCAGACGATACAGTTTCAGGATCTTCTCGTTTTATTTTATATTTACGACTTTTAGTTTGTCGATCCTTTTTCTCTTTACCTTTAACCTTCGTTAAGTAATTCTTGCTTTTAATTTTCTTAACGATATGATTAGAAACCGCTTTGTTAGAAGTAGCTGCTTCCCTCGAGATACTACCGTCGCTATCAGTCTCAGTTGTTTCACCTGATGTTTCCTCAAATTCATACTGCGGAAATTCTGAATCCGTTTGAGGGGGCGCAGGTGTACTTCCCGTGGTACTTTCATATGATGGCGGTGACAAGAATGTCTTTATCGGTGTGAAGGAACGTTCAACGAACGGAGAAGCTGGAAGAGAACCCTGTTCTTCTTGTGAAGGAAGATTTTCTTCACCTGATCCGGCTTCACTCGATTCCATTTCTTTTCTTCTCATATTTTGAAGTTCGTTTAGAGCTGTACTTGCTAGCTGGTCTAAACCAGAAACAAAGTGGGTTTCTTCTTCGTCGTCGTCTACCTCCATAGTCCCATGTTTAGGATTAGTAGGGCATGGTGGACCATATTCATCATATTCGACTTGGACTGAGCTTGAAGCATACTCCACGATACTATTGGATTGGTTTTTTATTCGCATTCCGTTAGGCTCGCCGGAAGGAATAGACGTTTTAGGAATAGAAGAAACGCCATTAGCTGTGCTGGTATTATTACTTTTGTTATTACTTTGTAGACTGTGGTGATTCTTTTTATTTACAGTCACAGGTGTTTCTTCGGTTTCCACACATTTGGCACTTGACGTAGAGTGGTTAATTGTGATGCTTGTATTATAATTTGTGGAAGGCGTGTTTGATAATGACAAGTTATTTAAAAGTGAGTGAGAAGTAGTTGGCGTAGTCGTTACTGAAATAGAGTTTAAAGAACTCGTGTTTGTTTGTGATAAAGGAGTGACATTCGTAACGTTATTAAAACCAACTGTAGGAAAATTTTGTTTATGAATAGAATAGTTATAACTAAAACCAATTGGTGAACAGGCTGAGGTTGAAAAAGTGGAAGGAGGTGAAACTGACTGGAAAGTTGGGTTTATCGGGTATGGAGGAGGTAGTCGTAGTGTGTTTAAATTTGAAGGAATATTTGGAGTCTGTGGGGATTGTGGTGGAAGATTTTCTGAACCGTAAAATGGTTGTTGAGTAATCGACAAAGCAGGAGGTAACACGGAGTGCGTATGAGTTTCTTGCTGTACTGAAGATCCTACCGTCGAAGCGTTTGTATACGAAGACCTGTAAGAAGGTGATGGAGCCGGATTCAACATTGACATGATGTTGAACGAAGAAGTCGTTTGTTTTTGTGGTACTTGTTGCATTTCTTCCTTGCTCTCTTGTTTATATTCACTTGCTGACAAATTCTTTACTTGACTTGTGGGTTCTTGAGAAGTTTCTAACAATAGTTCTACTACGGGAGACATATCACTGATACTCTTTTACATTCCCCAGAAAAAGAAAGAAGTGGTAAAGTAAAAGAAAAAAAAAGCTAAAAAAATTTTTTGAGGGGAAACCAGAGTTCAAAAAAAAAGGCTTATCATAGTTGCTATCTTTTTATGGTTGGTAGAGGATACGAATGATCATTAGCATATCAGGTTTTAAAAAACGTGAGCAGGGTGAGTTATAAAATCAATTGAAATTCTAAGCAAATAAAAAATTTTCTCTGTTATAATTTTATAATAACTAAACCAAAGTTGTTCAAAGGACGCCTTCTTTAAGTAACAACAATATGACAAAAACCTAAAAACAGCTTCAACCCCTTCATGTTGTGCAAGCTATCCTGTTGATGCTCGTTTTTTTTTTTTTTTTTTTTGTAACACAGGACTACATGACATATTATCAGTAAGAATATGCGATCAAATTTTTTTTTAAATTTTACTGCGTATTCGCTTTTACATTTTGCTAAATCTTTTCAAAATGGTAAGTACAACCTTACCTGTTTTTGTATTATCGTAGTGTTTTGTTAATTATATATTTTATTTGTTCGTTTTAAGGCTCGTAATGAAGAAAAAGCACAGTAAGTTTCTTTCTATTTTTTATTTACAAATGTATACATTAAAATAAGTTGTAAATTTTCATTTGTAATTTAGGTCTATGCTTTACCGATTTCGGGAGGCTCAGGCTGTTCAACTCGGATTGGTAAAGCCAAAAGAACGTCGACCTTTTTTGGCTTCAGATTGTAATAATTTGAAAGATTCGGAGAAATGGCGACAACAAATAATAAGAGAAATTTCTAGAAAAGTGTCAAAAATTCAGGATGGTAAATAACAAAATCCCAACTTCCTTTTTTTAACCTTAATTAATTTAATTAAATTTAATTAAAATTTCTATGTATAGCTGGCCTGTCGGATTATCAGATCAGAGATCTGAATGATGAAATCAATAAATTAATGAGGGAAAAGGGTCATTGGGATGATCAAATTAAAAAACTTGGTGGTCCAGATTATAAAGTAAATATATGATTCATTTATCATGATTTCCCATTAAAATATATTTAAAATATTCATATTTCATAATTTCTAGAGAGTGGGTCCAAAAATGTTAGATGATGAAGGTAAAGAAGTACCAGGAAATAGGGGTTACAAGTATGTATTTCTTAATCAAAAATTATTTTTAAAATTATAATCATAACTTTTCCGTTTTTTAAAGGTATTTTGGGAGAGCAAAGGACTTGCCTGGAGTAAGAGAATTATTTGAGCAAGATGGTAATAATTAATTTATTAAATTCTAAAATGTTTTATATACATCACTTATTAACATTATTAAAAATTAGTTCCCACTCCATCAAAACGTACGAGATTTGATTTATATAAAAATGTAGATGCGGATTATTATGGATATCGTGATGAAGAAGATTCAACTTTATTAGAATATGAGCGAGAAGTCGAAAATGGGGGTATGAAAATTCATAATACAATCAAGGATTTTTACCGATATTTTTTAAGGTTATAATTCTATATCTTGTTTATTATAAATTAGTTATTGCTGAAGCTTTAGAAATACCAGATGTAACAGTTCTTAAAGATAAATCAATACAAAAGAAAAAAGAGGGTACCTCACAAATAGAGAATGATCCAATGGATATTGATTCATCGTCAGAAAAATATATGGCACATGTTGACGTGCCGTCTCAAAAGGATGTAGAAGAATATTTAGTACGAAGGAGAAAACGTCAAATGCTTGATCGTTACGTGTCGGAAGAAACCGGACAGAAATCATAGCTTTTTTTTAGGTAAATTTCTTTTTTTTATTATTTGAGAAATATTACGCAATCATATTTACTTATTGCATGATTCGAGAGTATTCATGAAATCAAATTCTGAAAATGATCATATGAAGAATATTCACCAATGCCGTGAAAGTAAGTCCTCAACAGGATTAATTCTTGATTTTTGTATTAATAGAACTGACCCTTAAACGACTTATAGATATTCGATAAACCTTATTTATAATTTATGCATCATACCGACACATTAAATTCCAATTAAATTATACCCAGTTTTGTTGCGTTGTAGTCGGTAGAGTCGTGGGTCAAATCATAGATATTTTTTTTTTAATAAGAATTCTCATAATTTCGAAATATATTTTGGATATAAACCAAATCTAATCTCCGATTCATAGATTTTGCAATATTCAAGTCAGTTAAGACAGAAATTACATGTCTCATTTCTTGGGCTCCGAACCAATACGTTGATAATAATGATAATATATCATTGAATTTAGAGTAAAGAATCTTCACTCAAATTTTTATCACCTAAATACTTGAATGTTACATAATTAATTGTTAAAAATGATTCTACAAGTCAATTAATACGAAATGTTATTATCTCAGAAGTGACGGTCCATGGTGAAATATAACAAAAGACTAATAGAATAAACCTTTTTTGCACCCAAATTTCAAAGAAGTCATTATTTTTAAACTGAATTTGTTAGGAGACCTACACTCCCCAATAAAATGACCGGATAAATTCCTTTTTTTAAAATATGTATAACTAAATGATTTATATATTAATCATATAAATATTATATTTCTAGATCCAGTAGTAATAATTGGTGTATTTCTGATTGTTCTTCCTGTAGTTGCAATTCTTCTTTAAACCATCTTCGAAGAATCATTGCAATATGAAATTTAGCATTATCACATTCAAGCATTACTTTGAATAATGGTAACAAATAACTCCATATTTTTCTGAGTTACTCAATAAAGAAGTTATTTGCTATACTTGCAAGATATCGTTAATATCAATTTCATTAAGTAGTGACAATGTAAATTTTCCTATCTTCATATTTATCTTCTAAAAATTCCACCAAATTTGCATCATTTAATTCACAAGATAAATTATCTTCTACAATCTCATCTTGGCAAACCTCTACTTTAATTTATCTAATTCAATAATCTTAGCTTGATATGTAGCAACTTTATATTTGTTTTTAGTAATTTGCAGGTGATAACCAATAATAATATTGAATTAACTTACAGTAATTGATAATGTTAAAGATTGGGATTAATTTATTTTTGCATATTTAAATATGAAAAATCTATAAAAAGGAATAGTAAATACTGTAATAGTTGAGTTATAACTTGTAAACTATTAATTATTACTAATATAATTACTTTTAGTCATATTTTCAGTATTTAATCTATTCAACAATTTTTGATATGTAGAACTAAGTGATATTTTAGAATCTATATTCTGATGTAAAATACCATTTAAACCCTCAATATGTTGAGAATTTTGCATTTCTGCAGTAAATAAATAATCTAAGAGTATAATATAATACCTATGATCCTTTACTTTTATATAAGATTTTTTGCAAATAATTACTTGCTTGTTGATACTTAATTTTAATTTACCATAAATGGTTGACTATAATATTCCCTAATGTATAGTATTATACTTATAATTTTGATGTAAACTATCTGGGTACTATACATAAAGACTACTGATTTTTTTTAATTAATTTGTATGGTATTCAGAAGTATTATACTATAGGAGATATTTTACTATAGGAAATATTTTACTACAAATACATTAAAAAAAGGTTGTAAATTACCGCAGTAACAACTATGCTAAATATGATTTAGCAATTGATTTTGAATTTACAAATTATTGCAACATAAGCTAAAATTAGTTGCAATATATAGTGCAACATTATAAGTTGCAATATATATAAGTTTCAATATTAAAAGTTGCAACATATTAATTATAGTTCTTATCTTTAAACTATACATTTATTCATTTACAGTAAATTTATTATTTATTTACAATTTAATATTCATTCTCATAATCAAAAGCTTCCAGTTCTTTATATTCATTTATATCAGACTCATTACTATCACTTTTTTCATCACCACTATCACTATTACTACTATCGTTATCATAATTTTCATTATTATCATTATTATCACTATTGTTACTATCATTATTATCATTATTATTATTAAAATCCTAAACTTTATCCTGTTCATTTTTCTTTATATTATTAAGCAATCTATCATAATCGAATATTAAATTATCCTCTTTGAATTAAAGAAATATTTATACTAATTCATGATTTTTATATCCATTCAGCTACAGTAGTATAAGAAGGCTATTTAATCCTTTTAGCAGGTGTTAATTCCTTAATTTTAAAATTCATCCATTTATATAATAATATCTTAACTTTGCTTCTATCAGAATGATTCTTTTATCATTTCTTTAGAATGATATTGTTAACGTGTGATTTTTGCAAACCACAACAGTAGATGAGACATTTGAGTGATTGCTTTTTATTGGTAGCTTATTGGGTTTATTAAAATAATTATAATAATATGTATATTTTTAAGTAAAAGAACTCTTTATAAATCATAAATTATGTAACAATTAATCATTATATTTTCAATATTATATATGTAAAATAAGTTTATTAAAGATAAGATATATATAAGAATAATAAAAATAAAAGGACAATGAAAAGATGATTAAGCACATTAGTATTGGGTTAGAGAAAATCTAACTTCCTTCCATTCAATATTTACAAACCATTCTATTTATATAAAATAATTTACATAGAAAGATAAAACTAATATATTATATATCTAATAAATCAAATATATCTGTTATGTTTAACCTGTCTAATATGTCCTATTTGCGAACATGTCAGATATATTATATATGTCAAACATGTCAGAAATGTTAGTTATGTCAGATATGTCAGATATGTCAAATATATCAAATATATAAGTTATGTAACATTTGTTTAACATTTTTAATGTTACATGTATAAATCATTTGTAGATCTTTCAGTAGATCAATTCTGTAGTAAATCTTCTAGTAGGTCAATTTTGTGAAATATGCTGATTATTTGTTATACCACATTTTCTTGTTATAATCACCCTGTAATAATGTTTAATCATTTTAAAGAAATGATTTTATTTATCATTCCTTTAAAATGAACTTTTATTGTTTTATCAGAATGATTCTTCTATTATTTCTTTAGAATAATATTTAATTATTCTATTGAAATGATATTATTTATCGTTCCTTTAGAACAATCTTTTATTATTCTATTATTCCTTTAGAATAATATTTAATCATTCTATTAGAATGATATAATTTATTGTTCCTTTTGAATGATTCTTTTCATCATTTTATCAAAACAATTTTATTTATCGTTCTGATAGAACAATACATAATTATTCTAAAGAAATGATGTTATTTATCATTCTGATAGAATGACCTTTTATTATTCTAAAAGAATGATTTTTTTATTATTTTATTAAAACGATTCTTTTATCGTTCCTCTAGAATGATGATTTATCATTTTATTAGAACAATTCTTCTATCATTCCTTTAGAATGATTTATTATTATTTTATCAGAATAATTTTAATTATCATTCCTTTAGAATAATCTTTTATTTTTCAGTTAGAACAAATTGTCTCTTGTACCTTTATTTACTAAATAACTTAAGTCGAGTTTAGTTGAAGTTTAAAAATTTTTTTGACTCAACATGACTCAACTCAATTTTTTTGAGTTGAATTGAGTTTAATAAAAACTTGCTCAACCTGACTCATTCAGAACTCTAACCATACAAATCCTTGAATATAGACAAATCTAATAAGCAAATAAATATTAATTTTGGACTTTTTTTTTTAAAAATGCAATAATACATTTATTTATTATAAAAATTCAATTTCAGTAAAAAAAAAAACAAAAAATTTCAATAAGAATACAAAGTAAAAAAATAAAAATAGCTATCTAATAATTATCATTAGTAAACTAACTCTTATGGTTATCTTATCAGATTCTAGTAATAATTACCACTTAACTAAAATAGAGAGAAATGTTTGATAAATAGTTATTATTGTGTTAACAAAAGACCATTTTTGATTATGTATATAAGATTTAATCATTAAATATGTGTGATCATATTCTAGATTAAAAGTAGAAAAAATGGGATTAGTGAAACTATTAAATAAAAAGTTATTAGAAAATTTGTAATTTTGTTTTTTTTGTATTTAAAAATATGAAGGAATTGTTCTTTTTCAATAGTAGTTTTACATCTTAAATTCTATATATTTTGTAAGTATGATTAAAAATGTAATTGTAAAAAGAAGATAAAATCTTTAAGATAAATAAAAAAAAATTAGTAAAAGAGTCTAATAATTTGAAAAGAGTAATAGAAATAATATCTTTGATGAAATTTATGAAAATGAAGTTGAGATAATCAGCTTTGAAAGTCTAATAAGAATATGAAAGGGGTAGAAATAATAAGATATCAGAAGAGTAATCTGAATATGAAATTTATATAAATAGTTGTTATTTTAATACTTATAAAACATCAGTGATTATTACTTTTATTCGTGTTTAATGTTAGAACAAACCCATATATGATTAAAGTTTTCTTTTTTGTTGTTACAATAATAGTATCTCTAAAAGGAATTGCAAATTATTATAAGCTATATTGCTTTCATATATTCAATAGTTAGAATTTGTATAAAAAGAAATTTGAGTCTTCTATAATACAGAGGGCGATCAAAATTATCCGGCCAGTTTGTTTGGCCAAAATTATGCCGATCATCACATGTTAACATAATAT